AAATCTGGACCCCTAGGAACATTCCTGGTTTTACCTGGGCTATGTCCTCTTGTCTGGGAATGTCACTCAGTCTCCAGGAGATCACAGCTCTAGCTTTATTGTATGTCATAGACTCAAAGTAAAGGTAAGACAATCCGCAAGATTGAACCTCGTTAATGACCTCCCTTTCCCACGATGATTGGAAATCGTCCCTCAATATCAAGGGGGCAATACCCACTGGTTTAAAACAAAGCTTGAGCCATAGCCAGAGCTTTGTCTTCAAGGCCACACACCGTAGAGCTTGCCAGCCGACCTCTAATCTCATAACCGCACCCGCTACCGAGGGGGGAATCCTAAGGATGGCTCTAAGGAATCGTGTTTGAATAGAATCCAGTTTCAAAAAATCCCTACGGGAGCCTAAAGAGATGCCCACCAAAAGAAGGGGGAGGACTTTCATTTGAAAGAGTCTCAAAGCTATCTTCACTGATTGAGCCTGATTCTTAGCATATAGAGAACTAATCTGGATGGCTGCTTTAGATGCATTAGTTGTTATATAGTCTCTATGGGCCAGAAAAGACCTATTTGTCGATAAAATCTCATGGGAATTTATGAAAAAACTATTAAAAGAATTGTGTCTAGGTGAAAAATTCCAAAAAGGTATAAATGCAATATATAACCAACAGAAAGCAAAAATTATTATTAATAAAGAGTTTGGAGAAGAATTCAATATCTTTAAAGGTACAAGACAAGGATGCCCCCTATCCCCAATGTTATTTATAATAGTATTAGAGGTTCTATTAAAGAAAATAAGACAGGACAACCAAATAAGAGGAATAGTAGTTGGTGAAAAAAGATACAAGTTAAGAGCCTTTGCAGACGATGTTATGATCACAACAGAAAATCCCCTACAATGTACACCTAGAATATTGGAATGCATAAACGAATATAGCAGATTAGCAGGATTCAAATTAAACTATGGGAAAACTAAAATATTAGTGAAAAATATGGAAGAAAAAGATAAAGTGAAATTACAGGATTGGAAATTAAAAAGAAAATAAGGTATCTTGGAATAAATTTAACAACAAACACTATAGATTTAAGTAATGAGAACTATGGGAAAACATGGAATGAAATAAAAAAATGATTTGCAAGTATGGGGGAAATTAAATCTTTCTTTACTAGGGAAAATATCGGTAATAAAGATGAACATATTACCAAGGATGATGCTTTTATTTCAAAGTATCTCAATACTAGGAGGAGATAAATGTTTTAATAATTGGAAAAGAGATTTAGCCAAATTCGTATGGTCAGGGAAAAAGCCAAGAATAAAACACAAAATAATGATAGATAAGGACAGAGTTTGACTGCGTCGGAGGTCCTGGCTGTTTCCCAGAATGCGAGTGAATGCAGGGATGCCAAGGACACCGGTTGCAAGCTGCAGGGGGAGCTGACTGTGATGTCATCCCAGGCAGCATTCCAGCCTCCAGGGGGAGCCAAGGAGTCGGCAGCTGAGAGCTCTGTTTCCTGTGAGAACCAAGGTCATTGTCTTTGCAGAGGCCGGAAGGCCAGAAGTAAACAGAGACAGATGCCTGCAGATGGCCAGAAGCAGGGGGGGGGGGTGGAAAGCCCAAGCCAGGGAAAAACAAGGTTTTGTTTGCTGGCAATGCTTCACCAAAGGCTAAAGGCAAGTTTGATGGCCAGGAGCAGGGGGGCAAGCAGCAAAAGCCCACACCGGTGGAAAACAAGGTTTTGCTTGCTGGAAAAGCTGCTCCAAGGCCAGATTTGTTGTAGATTCGGGATGCACCCGCCATCTGGCATAAGATAAGCATCTGTTTATCTCCTTCACACCTCAAGATGGAGAGATCCACCAGGCTGACAGAAAGACGTTGCGAATTGAAGGAGTCGGGACTACCAGCTAGTCCAGGGGTCTGCAACCTTTAAGACAAAAAGAGCCACTTGGACCCGTTTCCGAAGGAAAAAAAAACCTGGGAGCCACAAAACCATTGCGACATTTAAAGCATGCCGCTGCCCTCCGATCAGACAGCGGGCGGGAAGGTGACGTCGGGACGGTGCGTGACTAACGCACGCACTGCCCCCATGCGACGTCACAGCCAGTACAGCGCCCGCCACAGTGGGGAGTGTAGGGGCGCACAATGCGCCTCCTCCCCTCGCTAGTATCCGTCCCGGAGCCGCGGCAAAGGTGTAAAAGAGCCACATGCGGCTCCGGAGCCGCGGGTTGCAGACCCCTGAGCTAGTCCATGCAGACCTGGTTGGTCCACTTGCGCCCTCTTTGGGTGGAGCAAGATACTTCATGGTTCTAATTGATTCCTTTTCCAGGTACATTCATGTGTTTATGCTCGAGCAGAAATTGCAAGCGTTTCCTAGGTTCAAGGCATTCTGTGCTTGGTTGGAGAATGCTCACAGTAAACATATCAGCTGTTTGTTTACTGATCGAGGCGGGGAGTTCACTTCTCAGCAGTTTGAAGCTTTCCTGACTGAGAAGGGAATCCAGCATGACCTATCAACACCTAGATCACCATGGCAGAATGGACTTGCTGAACGAGCAAACCAGACATTGCTTCAAGGCCTAAAAACCTTGTTGCATGATGCCAATCTCCCTGAGAAGTATTGGGGGAGGCTTTATCAACGTTTGTTTATTCCTATAACAGGAGACTGTCATCACCTATTGGTTGTACTCCCTATGAGAAGATGTTTGGTAAGAAACTTTACATCAAGCACATGAGAATCTTTGGTTCTGAAATGTAGGTACACACCCCACAGAGCAACAAGCTTGGGAAGCGTGGGGCACATGGTTTGTTCATGGGGTATGAAAAAGGTTCATACAGGGTATGGATGACTGACTCTAAGTCCATTAAGTTCACAAAGAGTGTTGAGTACAATCCCAGGTGGTGGTGGTGGGGAAATGTGGGAATTTTCCAGAGTTACCCAGAGGAAGATGAAGGTGATGTGAAAAAAGTAGATAATGTTGAGGTAGAAGAGGAAGCTGAGGATGATAATGATGATGATCAGAGTTCAGATTCCAGCTCAGTGGGCGGCGCTGCTGCTGATGTCAGCGACAGTGATGACACAGCAGACTACAAGAGCGCAAAGGCCACAGTCAGACCATCTGATGCGTCTGACAATGAACTGGAAGAACCACTGTTCACCATTGGTCAATTTTCTCCTAAGAAGGAGGAGATGAGTGCAGAAGACTTGCGTCTAGTACGCAGATCTGAAAGGGCGACCAAAGGCAGACCTCCAAAGAGATTTGCTGATGAGTTTGCTAAGACAGCAACTGCTGTTCTTAGTAGCTCAGAGAAGGTGTGGGAACTTTCAAGCTTAAAAGAGGTTCAGGAGTTAACCTCTAAAGATGCTGAGCCTTGGCTTAATGCCATGAAGGCTGAAGTTGATTCCTTGAATAGGAACCAAACTTGGGAGCTGGTACCGGTAGTCCCAGGAATGAGACTGGTTGGCAGCAAATGGGTCTTCAAGGCCAAAACAGACCAGAATGGCAGGGTTGTCAGACACAAAGCCAGATTGGTTGCCAGAGGTTTTTCACAGGTACCAGGACAGGATTACCATGAGACCTACTCACCCACCGTCAAGTATGAGAGCATTCGGCTAATGCTCAAGATTGCTGCAGAGGAGAAACTGCAAGTTTCCCATCATGACATTAATACAGCTTTTTTGTACGGAGTTTTGGGGGAGGAGCTGTTTATGCTTCCACCTGATGGAATGCAGATACAGAAGGGAATGGTCTGTAAACTGCGGAAATTCTTATATGGTCTCAAGCAGAGTGCCAGGTGTTGGAACACAAAGCTCACTGAGACATTGCTTTCTCTAGGTTTTCACCAGGGCAAAGCTGATCCATGTGTGTTTGTCAAGGAGAAGGGGCAAAACAAACTGTATTGTTTATGTTTTGTTGATGATCTTCTGATGTTTTGGAAGAATCAGGCTTTCTACCAAAGCACCCTAGCTCAGCTGAAGGAGCACTTTGACATGAAGGATCTTGGTGAGGTATCCAACTATCTTTCTCTGCAGGTGGAGAGGGACCAAGCAGGTAATTTTCTGGTACACCAAACACAGAAAATTGCTGAAGTATTAACCAGGTTGATGCAAACCCAGCAGATACACCAATGGTGACAGGTTACCAGGTAGATAGTACTGCTGAAGCGTTTTCTGACACAACGCTGTACAGATGCATTCTAGGCAAGTTGAATTTCATTGCTAGATGTTCAAGACCTGACATAGCTGTAAGCACTAACCTGCTTAGCAGACATGCTAACAATCCTACTGTTCAGGATTGGAAAGCTCTGAAGCGCATAGCCCGCTATTTGAAAGGGACTTTGCACTACAGGCTGAGGTTCACCAGTCAGAAGACTGGAGGTCTTGAAACTTTTGCAGATGATAGTTTTGGAAGTGACACCACGGATGGTACAAGCACTTCTGGAGTATGCTACATGTACAACCACTGTCTGTTTGACTGGCTGTGCAAGAAGCAAACGACAGTAAGCCTAAGTTCCTGTGAAGCAGAACTCAATGCTCTGTCATTTTCACTCATGGATTGTGAATGGTTGATGCAACTGTTTAAGGACACCGGAGTTTCTGTGAAATGTCCTATGCAAGTGTATCAAGACAATAGATCCTGTTTGGCTTTGCTGAACTCAGAGAGTTGCAAGCAAAGAACCAAGTACTTGCAGATTAAGCTACATCATGCAAGAGAATGTATTCAGAAAGGGCTCATTCAGGTGTCCTACATGCCAGGAAATGAAATTCCTGCTGATCTGTTGTCTAAGGTTGTTAACAGAGAACAACTTAAGGTTTATGTACAGAGGTTGCAATTGGGTTGAACCACAAGTACTACAGGTTACACAGAAAGGGGGAGGATGTTAGGATATTTCTGTTCCACCTTAAAAGGGAGCAGGCTTTGTGAGTCACAGAGTCTGCGTATTTCCTGTTCACAGGAAGTTTATGTTTTGTCTATGCTTTCGTTTCTCTCTCTGTGCCTGAGACACTGAAGTAGGCAGTCATGTTTTTTTCTTTGTTCTGACCAACGCTGAATAAACTTGTAAATATGCTCTCCTGAGTGCATCTTTTGCTGTGCGAACTCTGCTGAAAGAGCGTGCACCAGCCTTGGAATGTGGCATGCTATTTCTGAGGCTTCGTGTCGCTAATTGACTGATACTGTATCTACGGGAGATCGATGGATCGTCCGGCATCGGTGTGAGGGCGTGATGGACTTTGTCTCCCTGGCAGTATCCCAACAGAACAGAGACTCTCATGAGTAAGGGCTGCACTCATGATGGCTTTTAGCTGGATGAATGGGCATGGAGAAGTGGTTGAAACAACTACTCAGCAGTCTTGAGGTTAATGTAATGGAAACTGAACCCAGGCACCTTGGCCACTCTTCATAGATCAGACCCATCCCAGTCAACCCTTTGTTCTGTGGGACTGAAATAGCTCTTTTCCTTGTGCCGAGTCTGTACCATTTCCTTACATACAAGAAAGAGAATCTGAGGACATGTTTTGGGATGGGAGCCAGGGCATTTGGGCTCGGCTTCAAGGATCAAAATCCCCTGGGAAGCAATTGGAGCATATTGAGCAACAACAACCAGTGTTGTTCTAGGGTAATGCCACAGGTTCTCTACAGCAGTCCTCCCTGCTGCTAGTAGAAGAAGAACACTGCTGGATCAGGCCAAAGGTTCATCTAGCCCTTTTATCTCACCTTTCAACACCCATCATGTCTCCTCAAGATATTCTTCAATATATTGAGTTTCCCCCCTGAAATCTTTTTCATTAAGGACTCATGTTTTCAGACTAGAGATCCTGTAGTTCTGTTTTATACACAGGTCCAAGATGTGGCTGTTTTGGGGAGTGGCCTGCTTAGTCCAACAGACTCTGACATCTGAAGAATTCAGCTGTAGGAGACATCTGAATCCACAACAATTTATGACTATTGTAAGTTAATAATTCAGATGGCCTTGAAAACAGTGGACCATGTTCCTTGTAATTTCATTTTTAAAACAGTTTTCAAGAGCACATGCATTTCCAGGAAGAAACTCCATGCTTGGCAGGAGTTATTTCAAACTGCAAGTTAATCTGATCATGTTTGAAACAATACTCTCTTGGCTAGATTAACTGATCTAGAAGACACAGTTAGCTTTGATAACTCCTTTTCGGAGCAAAGGTTTAGGAGCCTGGCTCCTCAGTGTAAATGTTGACATTTGCTACACAGGCATTAGCTGAAGCCTTAGGCAGCAGATTCATTATATTTCTCATGGTGAGACATTTCTTTGAAGTTGCTTACCATACAGATTTGGTGTTCTGCATCATATCAGTATAGATTTCCTTTTTGTCTTTTTGTTGTGGAATGGAGAAAACCACAATCAATCTGTGGTTATGTACACTTCACACAAATATTCCCAGATGGGGGAAAGGGGGAATAAATTTGATTCAGTTCGCATTTCATGCTGAATCTACACAATTTGCATTTTCTGGAACAATACACAAAGCCATCCTTCAAAATTGGCATGTCTCCAATTTTTGTGTGCTGTTCTCCAGCCAAGTAATGGAAAAAGAAATGCATATACCAGAGTAAAGTGTTTTTAAAAATACATATACAAGTGAAAATAGCATACAAAAAAAATCATTTTATTAGGTAAAAAAAAGGTGTGTTTTGGGCAAACTTGCATACAATCATGTGTACATCATGAGAGTTTAGGGGAGGGATAGGAAACCTAAGGCCCTCCAGATGTTGTTGGACTACAACTCCCATAATCCTTGACCGTTGGCCATGCTGGCTGGGACTGATAGGAGCTGGAGCCCAGCTATAGCCACAGATTTCCCATTCCTGGTGTAGGACTAGTAAAGTTACTTCACAATAATCTTGGCCCTCAGAGGTTTTCGTTCTTTGAGATATTCAAGCAATTGTCCCAGAAATTGAAATGATCAGATTTATTTATTTTTTAATCTAGCATTTCTATTTCCATCCTTCTCCACTCACAGCCTGAAGTTATCCAGTATTGGGGATACCCCAGTGAAGAGTATACAATCCTGACAGGGGATGGCTATTACCTGCAGGCAAACAGAATTCCACATGGAAGACATAGTTCTGGAAAGACAGGTAATTTTGAAATTTAGCAGTAAATGCATTAAAATGCCACATGCCACGCCTGATATCCCTATGTTCAATGTTACCCAGACTTCACTATTTTTTTCTTTCACTCAACTTTATTTGGAAGCAATATTATAAATAAAGGGAGAAATTGTTGCAAGTTGGCTGAAATCACTTGAGTTGTTCTCAGTTGTAAACACACTTGATGATTCCTTCTTCATTATATCTGAGCAACAAGGTTTCCCAGATTAAACAATAATTCCAAATAATCAACAGTAATAATTATCCATTCTTCTATTCATAGCAGAACACTATGAAATATCTTAGGTGGTGTGGGGTTTGGTTGAGTGGCTTTTTTATGCCTTTTCAAAAATCAGTGCAAATTTTAACTATCTCCTGATTCTTAGGAGAGTTGTTTAGAAACAGCCACAGCAGTTGTGGTCTCTCTTCAGCGGTAGGCAGCAATCACCTCAGAGACACAGCATTTCACCCACAGGAGAGGCAAGGTCCACCCACCTTCTGACCTCACCTACTACTGCTACCTTTTGCCAATACTTCAGCACTTCATCTCTGGATTGCTTGGGAAAAGTAGGTGGGGACATGTTGGCAGAAGAGAAAGTGGGTGGGAAAAGAAGGGTCATGGCGTTTTATGTAGGCTTACACAAAACATCGTTGCTAGTCTTCACACAATCAATGAAAACATTTTCTGAGGTCCTAGGAAATGTCTGACTCATCTCCTTTGTACCCCCTGCACCCTACTCTGCTTGGCCTTGGGCTAGATACCAGTAGGAAATGTTGGTGCTCTGTGAGTGCCCATTCTCTATCTAATGTTGTCTTTGTTTTCCAGGGCCTAAGTCAGTTGTGTTATTGGTACCTGGTAACTTTTGTGAAGGCAGGAGCTGGATTTCAAATCTTCCCAGCAATAGTCTGGGATTTGTTCTAGCAGATGCTGATTATGATGTCTGGATATTAAATAACAGGGGGACCACCTGGTCTAGAAGACATCAGCACTTCTCAGTAGACCAAGAAGAATTTTGGAATTTCAGGTAAGTACAAGGGGCTATTGTTGCTTGGATGGAAGGGATGCTTTTCCTGAGAACTTTCCCAGGACTCAGCTAGAATAGTAAAGAAAAAGTGTTTTAGATGCACTGTATAGGCAATATAACACTATGAAACCAAATGGCACTGTGGAGTTCTGTCTTTCCCAACTGGATTTCCCTATATGATTTTACAATGCGTCTAACTGAAATGCTTCATAGATGTGTTTATTTTTATCATATCATCATCATCATCAATCTTTATTATGGTAAAGAGACCCAACAAATCATTACACAGCAATACACAATTCAGACAGCCTGTTGTTGTTGTTATTTAGTCGTTTAGTCGTTTCTGAATCTTCGTGACCCCATTGACCAGAGCATGCCAGGCACTCCTGTCTACCTCCAGGTTAAACAGGAGCGTCTCCACCCCCATCGTTCTACCCGGACACTGAGGTCCAGCGTACAGGGCCTTCTGGCAGTTCCCTCACTGCAAGAAGCCAAGTTACAGGGAAACCAGGCAGAAGGCCTTCTCGGTAGTGGCGCCCACCCTCTGGAATGCCCTCCCACCAGATGTCAAAGAGAACAACAACCACCAAACTTTTAGACGACATCTGAAGGCAGCCCTGTTTAGGGAAGCTTTTAATGTTTGATGTATTCCTGTATTTTAATATTTGGCTGGAAGCCGCCCAGAGTGGCTGGGGAAGCCCAGCCAGATGGGCAGGGTATAAATCATAAATCATAAATGATTATAAATAATAAATAACAAGTATTATTATTATTATTATTATTATTATTATTATTATTATTATTATTTTGTTCAGACTTAAGGATAGGGATCATTGGTTCTTGCAACCACCGATAAAAACTTCGCCACTGCTAATGTTCTAGCGTTTGTCCGGTCTTCCAGTAGGAACCTGACATAGTGAGCCTCTGATTTTCCCAGGAAAGGTAATTTCCCAGGCAAGGGTAATTTCAGTTCAGCCACCCAGAGCAGAATTTTAATTTAATTTTGGGGAATTTTAATCATGGCACCACACTCCACATAATATCAGAGGGTAGTGACCCCCCCAAAGCATTTCCTACTCTTGCCCTGCACCTGCACTCTTCCATATTTAAAGCATCATCAGTGTGATTCCGCACATCATTCCTGATGTAGATCTTCATTCTCCACTTGGTTGTAATGAAGACATTTATTGCCACTTTGTCCTGGGTGTAGATCTTCACTCACTGCTTCCTCCCTGGAGGGAAGTGGTCCAATTTTGTTTTTGTTTTTTTTTTGAAAATATTTATTAGGGTTTAGCAAATACAGAAAAAAGAAAAACAAACAATAAACAGTTACAAAACTTCAAAAGTAAATAAAAAAAGAAAAAATACAGTCAACTCATTAAGAAAGAAAAAAAAACATTTAAAAAGCAAAAACATTTAAAAAGAAAGAAAAAAAGGCCAATATTTTCATATCCTTATCTTTCATTTGCTTATTTCCTTAACTTCCTCACACCTCCCTTTTTGTATTCTAGTTCAATTATCTATTTCAGCAAATCCTTTCCCTCTTTCTCAGATTTAGTTCCATAATTTATCTTAACGCAATTTAGCCTTAAATTTTACACCTTTACCCATAATCAATCCATTCTTACTTAATTCTTAATAACATTTCTACTAAAGCCATATATCTTATTTCTAGTATCCTTCTAACATTCATTAATTTTACAATATTTCTGTAAGTGTACTTTAAATTTTTTCCAATCTTCTTCCACCAACTCTTCTTCCTGGTCTCGGATTCTACCAGTCATTTCCGCCAACTCCATGTAGTCCATCACCTTCATCTGCCATTCTTCCAGGGTGGGTAGATCTTGTGTCTTCCAATACTTTGCAATAAGTATTCTTGCTGCTGTCGTGGCGTACATAAAGAAAGTTCTATCCTTCTTTGGCACCAATTGGCCGACAATGCCCAGGAGAAAGGCCTCTGGTTTCTTCAAGAAGGTATATTTAAATACCTTTTTCATTTCATTATAGATCATCTCCCAGAATGCCTTAATCTTTGGGCATGTCCACCAAAGGTGAAAGAAAGTACCTTCAGTCTCCTTACATTTCCAACATTTATTGTCAGGCAAATAGTAAATTTTTGCAAGCTTGACTGGTGTTATGTACCACCTATAGATCATTTTCATTAAATTCTCTTTTAAGGCATTACATGCTGCAAACTTCATACCTGTGGTCCATAACTTTTCCCAGTCAGCCATCATAATGTTATACCCAACGTCTTGTGCCCATTTAATCATAGCAGATTTCACCATTTCATCTTGTGTGTTCCATTTCAACAGCAAGTTATACATTCTTGACAAATTCTTAACTTTAGAATCTAACAATTCTGTTTCCAATTTTGATTTTTCCACTTGGAAGCCTATTTTTTTATCCACATTATATACCTCCATTATTTGATAATAATGGAGCCAGTCTCGCACTTTATTTTTTAATTTTTCAAAACTCTGCATTTTAGTCTGTCTCCCTCTTGTTTCAAGATTTCACAGTTCTTCGGCCATTTGGCCTCCATATTGAGTTTTTTCTGGGCCTTTGCTTCCATTGGTGACAACCATCTTGGGGTTTTACTTTCTAACAAATCCTTGTATCTTACCCAAACATTGAACAGTGCTTTCCTAACAATGTGATTTTTAAACGCTTTATGTGCTTTAACCTTGTCATACCACAAATATGCATGCCAACTAAATACATTGTTAAAACCTTCCAAATCCAACATGTCCGTGTTTTAAAGAAGCATCCATTCTCTCAGTCAACAAAATGTGGCTGATTCATAATAAAGTTTAAGGTCTGGCAGGGCAAATCCACCTCTTTCTTTGGCATCTGTTAAAATTTTAAATTTTATACGAGGCTTCTAGCCCTGCCAGACAAATCTAGAGATATCTCTCTGCCACTTCTTGAAACACTCCATTTTGTCCAATATTTGCAATGTTTGAAACAAAAACAACATTCTTGGCAATACATTCATTTTTATCACAGCAATTCGGCCTAGTAACGATAACTTCAAATTTGACCATGTTTCTAAATCCTTTTTCACTTCCGTCCAACATTTTTCATAATTATCCTTAAATAAATTCACATTCTTAGCAGTCATATTAACCCCTAAATATTTCACTTTCTTAACCAATATCAATCCTGTCTCTTTCTGGAACTTGTCTCTCTCAAACTCACTTAGATTTTTCTCTAAAACTTTAGTTTTCATCTTATTCAACTTGAAACCTGCTACCTTACCAAATTCTTGGATCAGTTCCAATACTCTTTTAGTGCTTGATTCTGGCTCCTGTAAAGTCAATACCAAATCATCCGCAAATGCTTTTAATTTATACTGTTTGGCTCCCACTTGGATACCTTTTACTAATTGGTCCCTTCTAATCATATTTAGCAAAACCTCCAGGACTGATATAAACAGCAATGGAGAGATTGGGCAACCTTGTCGTGTTCCTTTCTCAATCTTAAATTCTTCAGTCACTACATTGTTCACAATTAATTTAGCTTTTTGTTCTGAGTAAATTGCACCTATACCATTTCCAAAACCTTGACCAACCCCCATCCCCGATAAATTCTTTTTCATAAAACTCCAAGAGATATTATCAAAGGCTTTCTCCGCGTCCACAAAAATCAAAACTGCTTTAGTATTAATCTTCACTTGTAGCTTTTCTAAAATATTAATTATATTCCTCGTATTGTCAGACAAATGTCTGCCTGGGAGAAAGCCCGCTTGGTCTTTATGAATTTCTTCTGCTAACACCTTTTTCAATCTTCTGGCCAAAATATCTGCAAAAATTTTGTAATCCACATTAAGCAGTGATATGGGGCGGTAGTTTTTAAGCTGCGTCTTTTCAATCTCTGATTTTGGTATAAGTGTGATGTACGCTTCCTTCCACGACTCTGGTGCCCTTTTCCCTTCCAATATTTCATTACAGACTTTCTTTAAAGGTTGTATTAACCATTCTTTCAAAGTTCTGTAGTATCTAGAAGTCAGTCCGTCCGGTCCTGGAGATTTACCTAATTGCAAATTCTGAATGGCCCCTTCTACTTCCTGCTCCGTTATTTTGTAATCCAGCGTTAATTTATTTTATTGGGAAATTTTTTTGTAGTCCATTTATTTTCAGGAATTTATCAATGTCCATTTCATTCTGCTTTTCTTGTGTATATAATTGTTTAAAGTACCTCTGGAAGCATTTTCTGATTCCCACTGGATTCTGTATATTCTTTCCTTCCACTTCCAGATTCGTAATGGTATTTAATTTTTTGTCTTTTTTTCAATTGCCAAGCCAGCAATTTCCCACACTTATTTGCCGATTCAAATGTCTTTTGTCTCATCTGTTTAATCTTCCATTCTATTTCCTGATTCATCATTTTCATGTATTGTACTTGATATAGCTTTATTTCTTTCAAAATCTCCTGAGACTTTGGTTTTGCCCTCAGTTTCTTCTCTCCTTCCTTTATTTTTTCCAAAATTTTATCTTTTTTCTCATTTTGCATTCTCTTCTTAATTGCATTCTGTTGTATCAAAAATCCTCTCATGACGGCTTTACTTGCGTCCCAGATTACTCTTTTTTCCACAGTAGTGTTCATGTTTATCTCAAAGTAGTCTCTCATGGTTTTCTGGGCCTTTTTGGTAAATTCATCATTCCTAAACAAAGAGTCATTCATCCTCCATCTAAAGGAACCAGCTGGCGTCAATTTCAATTCCATCTTCACAGCATTATGATCAGAGCTGGTCTTGGGACAAATTTCAACTTTGCTAATCTTTGGGGCCAGTCCTCTAGTTACCCAAATTTGGTCAATTCTTGTCCATGTCATTTTAGCCTCGGAGAAGAAAGTTCCCTCTCTTCCCAGAGGGTTCTTCATTCTCCAAATGTCAATTAAGTCCATATTTTCAGTCATATCAAAAAATGTCTTTGGTAGTCTTCCATCCTTAGTGATTATTTGCCTTTGCGCCTTGTCCATATTTGTGGATACAACACCATTCATATCTCCCATCAGAATCATATTGTAGTCCAAATAGTCCATCAAGATTTCATGTAGCTTTTTAAAGAATTCCGATTTCCCTTCATTTGGTGCATAAATACCTATTATCAAAAATTTATCTCCTTGTATTTGGATTTCAATTGCTACAAATCTTCCTTGTTCATCTTTAAAGATAAATTTAGGTGATAGGCTCTCCTTTGCATAAAGGACCACTCCTCTTTTTTTAACTTTGTCCGATGAGATAAATTCTTGGCCCAATTTTTTATTACTCAATAGTTTCCTGTGTAGCCTTGTCACATGCGTTTCTTGTAAACAAATCAAGTCTAATTGCTCTTTTTTCAATAAATGAAACACTCCCCTCCTTTTTCCCGAACTGTTGAGACCATTAACATTCCAACTCAAGGCCTGCAGCGCCATCCTGTGGCTACTTTGGTGCTCCCCCAACTGCCCCCAAAGCTTGCTCCTCTTCTGTTGGTGGTACCGCTGGTTCGTTAGCAGGGGAGTCCACTCCAAAAGACAATGCTGAAATGTCCAGAGTACCCTTACTTGGTGATGTTCTCTCCCGTACTCTTTGCTCCAATCCTCTGTCAGGTGATCCTCTTTCCGCTATTATTGGCTCTTTTCCAATTCCCTTCTGTAAATCTTCTTCGTAGTTGTACAGGAACTTTGCTTTATCTTCCACTGATCTTATCTTTATTTTTCTTCCTTTAAAACTAAAGGATAGGCCTTGAGGAAATTCCCACCTAAAGTTGATTTTGTTCCTTCTCTACAGTTCAACCAGATCTCTGAAGTTAAATCTCAAGTCCAAAAGATATTTAGGGATATCTTTAAATATTTCCACTCTAAATTGGTGTATTACCAAGGCCTCCTTGTAATGCCAACTCAAGATTTTATCCCTCTCTTCCTTAGATCGGAGTGTAATCAAACAGTCTCTTATTCTGTTCTTCTCCTTCTTCCCTCCTCTTCCAAGTCTGAAGGCTCTCACAATTTTAAATTCCTCTTTTTGCAGATCCCGGTTCCAGTAGGTTACGAATTCCTCTGTAAGATAGTCTATCAAAGAGTCTTTTTCTAGTTCAGGTACTCCCCGAATTCTCAAATTTGTCTGTTTCTCCTTGAGCTCAAACATAGAAAGCATCAACTTCAGGTCTTGTACTTGTTTCCTCACATCTGGGACCTCTGTTTCCAATTGTGCTACATTCGCTTCAACAGTAACAATCTTTTCCTTAACTTCCTCTGCAGTCTGTCTGGTTGAATTGGACTCCTTAACTAATGTCTCTATAGCTTCTGTATTAGAATTAACCCTTTGTTCCAAACTTTTTATACTTTGTGTATTTTGGTCCAATTTTTGTGAGTTTTGGTCCAATTTTTTATTCATCTGTTCCAAGGAATTATTAATTTTACTCAAAACAAGTGCCCAATCTTCTTCCGAAACCATTCCTCCTTTTGGTTTACTATGCATTGATGCAGCTGCAGAGGAGACAGGAGGGCCAGATGTAGAAGCTCTCCAAAAAGACTTCCCAGACCTTGTTGTCTTTTCCTGTAAAGAGGGATCTATTTTTTCTTTCCCATCTGCCATAACACTCAAGGCCCTCAAGGTCAAATACAGTCCCAGAGTTTTATCTTTAAGACTGGAAAATTCCACTCCTTGTAGCAATTTCAAAATCCTCCTCTAGAGGGAAAAAGTTATTGTTTATCTTGTATTAGTCCAAAGTATCCTTTCTCTCTCTTTTTTTAAGTTACAATAACAAGTTGCACCAATATAATTAGTATCAAACCTTGACTTTAGTTCAGAAAAAGATAATTGAAACTTTTAAACCAGGAGAAAATAGTTGAAACAATGTTTCACTCACTGACAGTCAAATAGTCTATTCACAGTCAATGCGGAGCTCCGAAATGCAGCGATTTTAATGGCTGCCGTTCCCAGGTTCCGAGTGGTGAAGAGTTAACTTTCCCCTCTTTTTCTGCAGGCAAATAACGGTCCAAAAATCCTCCCCCTTTCCCCCCTGCTTCCAAGGGGGGGGGGCTCGCTATTTTTGTACTGGAAATTTAAAGATTAAACACAGTCTTTCAGGCTTTAGTTTAAGCCACTTTGCTTCCGACTATTTACAAAGAGAGGGAGGCGGACTTCCTGTTTTACACCTCCCCCGTTCGTAGCCTAATTCAACTTTTAAAGATCCAATTTCTTCACTCTACTCACAGGTAATTACTTTGAGTCCGAATGTCCACAAGAAAAAGTCAGCGCTCTCCAGCAATGGCTGTGTGGCTTCACTCCGTAAAAGTAGCAGTCAGTTCGCAGCACTGCGCCACTCACCCCACTTCACTCCGGAGTCCCTAAATGGGATTCCCATGCGAGTAGGGGAGGAGCTCCTGGTGCCCTGCCGAACCCCCATGTTCCCAGGCTTCCTCCACCTGGGAATTTCTAGCGGGTCCTCACCTTCGCCGCGGCGGGCAACCCAGTTTCCACGGAGCCAGTTCCTCCGCTTAGAGAAACTCCGCCATTCACCACTGGCACTAACCCGGAAGTCTGGGAAGTGGTCCAATTTTGTGGTTCGCCTCCAGTGCCAGAATATCTTAGGCCAGTCCTAATACAACTAGCATATAAGACCATGAACAATTTGGCATTTAGATTACCTGATAAATGGCCCACTCTTGTACAGATCTGTTAGTTCCTCCAGACATATTGTGAAGATACACCATTTTGCCCAGACGTTCCATGATGTACACCTTTTAGACCGCGTAAAGGGACTTCTGAATTACCATTTAAATTTAACACAGTTGAGCGATTTCATATAATTTCATATAATACATTAAAATTATCCTTTAATATGTGGATAACGTACATATTTGAGAACCTATTGGGCTAGTTTAAGGGTGATATAAATATTTAAATAAATCATAAATGTATATTTACTCTTTCTCTCCTTACTCTTTCCATAGGACAATAAGCTTACAACGTTATCCTCCAAAAGTAAGGGTATCATATGTAATGTATGGTACCTTTTGTATTTAGACATTAATGTCCACAACTGTATCAATTGCAGACAGGCAAAATTTCACCTATATTCTGTGTTTGTCTTTCAGCTTTCATGAAATGGCAATTTATGATAATCCAGCAGCCATAGACTTCATTCTGCAGAAAACTAAGCAAAAAGCTTGTATTATATTGGCCATTCCCAGGGAGGTACAACGGGTAAGTTAATAAGAAAAGAATGAAATAGCTTTTATTTTCTTGCCTTTTTGCATTATCAGGGACTTGCTGGGGGTGTGGTCCAGTCTCAGGACTATTGGGAAGACTATTTCAGAAAAGAAAAAGACAAATTAAAGCATAGCTTTTAAAAAAGAAAAGAAAAAGCAGAGTTCACATAAGTTCCATGAGAAAGTCTTTTCAGGATCAGGACTTCAGTATACAGGATCAGGCAGCGTATACAGCTCTTATCAGTTCCACAGCCATGAAGAATGTCCATCTGTGGTGCAAATAAATTTGTTGAATGACAGGCATTTCAAAAGAAGAGAGATGGGAAACTTTTGACCTTGCAGATATCTTGGACTCCAGCTCCCATCAGCCCCAGCAAGCATGGCTGATGGGCTCCAGCTCCTGCAACACCTGGAGAGCCACAGGTTTTTTTAAATCTCTGTTTGTTTGCAAGTACTATGTTTAGAATTGTTTTTTCCCCCTCCAGGTTTTATTGCCTTTTCAACCATGCCACAGCTTGCTCAAAAGGTTAAACTCTTCATGGGCCTGACTCCTGCCTACACATGCGAAGGCATCAAAGGACTCCTTTCCTTAATTATACGCCTTCCTCAAGAATTGATAAGAGTAGGTATTATTCAAGGCCCATAATTCTAATATATATTTTTCTTCTGCACCTTTATGGAGAGTTAGTCTTCCTGCCATCCGCTTCATTTCCTTATGTTGAGTGTGAGCTTGAAGAATTAGAAGGTTTGGATCACATGAACATTTGTAGCATGATAAGGTCCAAGTAGCCAAGTAAGATTGTCTTCCAAGAACACGGTCTTAACAGTGAGTCCCTAAGTGACTGTGAGGCCAATTCTGGATCCACATGTCCTTCCACAATGCTTTTCGGTGGCTGCTCCCAGACAGGATGAAGACTCTGTCACAGTAAGGGATGCTAGAAAGGAATGGTTGACATTCCAACCTGCATGCAACACAACCAGTACCATTTGAATTCTGCTGCTGTTCAGCTTCTGCCAAATACTCTGTTATTCATCTTACTGTCCACTATTGAGAATGCCCTTTCCCAGGACCCTACTCCCAAACTTTTAAGGAACTATCAAGAAGGCCCCATCTGCCAATCTTAACACCTGAGAGGTTGTGTGGGAAGAAGTTGTTGGAGAGCACCCCCTTAGAAATCTCTCCTCAGCTATCCAGAGCCAGGCCACATCAGAACCTGGCAGCAAAATTGCCTAGAATGCCCAGGCATATCACCTTGAGTGTGCTTGAAGAAAAGTGGTATATAATTGTAACATAAAGGAGATCTGTTCCTAACAGGAACCTCAATGTTTCCTTCCAAGAAAGGACAATTATTTAGTAAGGCTTCTGATTTTTTTAATTTTATCTTTACAGCCTATATGCGGCAATAAAGAATTCTGTTTTTTCAATAACAAACTAAAAGCCAACAATGCCAAGTTTTGCAGCTATCCAGGGATTGACAAACTTTGTCTCCAAATCATGGCCTTATTCCAAGGACGCAATGAGAAAAACCTAAATGTGGTAGGTAGTTTTATTCTCTATCATTTATTCATTTATTTCTTTTTGAAAGAACTTGCTGTGTACGTATACAAAACATCAAAAGAAAATCAATAAAAAAATAGAGTATTTGCCATAATTTTGAGTTCCTTTACATAGTTCTTCCATGTTGAAATTCTAGAGGCCTCTTTTAATAAATGTTGATCTATCTTTTAAAATTTATTTTCAAATTTAACTTCTCGTCTAGTTGGTAGTTGGTCATTTACGCATGGCCATAGAAGAGGAAATGCACAGCACTACAAAAACCAAAGAAGTTTCAGAGTGACTAATTTTAACTGCTTATGCTAATTTCCAGATGCAAAGTTAGAAGGAATTACTACTGTAGGGCAGGCTGTGAGCAGGTGACCTCTGTGCCTGCTCCATGTGCTGTCCAGGTGCTCACTATTGTGAGGCAACTTCAATGCCCCTGTTCTTCCTTCTTATGGCTCTTTATCAGCTGGATTCACTATGGGTGGGGGATACACATCTAGGTACCCAGACACCTCTTCATCAGAAACCTGCTTCCTTGTGCTACATGCAAGTGTCTGTATGCTGCACTACCTTGATTGCCATGACCTATTGCTTTGTACATAAATGTGTTCCTTGAAAATTTTTCAAGAATGTGAATATAAAAAGCATTTTCTTTTCTATTATTCTTCCAGAGTCGAGCAGATGTGTATCTTGGAATTTACCCTGATTTTACTTCTGCAAAAACTATTGCACACTGGAGTCAGGTACATTCTAACAAATACGTACCTTCTCAGCATCTCAAAAAAATAGGAGTCAAAAGTCTGACGTTTCGACTTGCCTGTTTAGTTTCTCATGTTTCTGTTTTGGTACTAAGGTTTCCATTTCATTTTATAAAAGTGTAGTTTTCCAGATTACCAGACCACTCAAAAGTTATATTCTAGATACTTCAATATTCAAACATGAGCTGTAACAACTCTTTGGATCTCATGGGAAGAACACAGGAAGCTGCCCTTTACTGAATCTGCCCATTGCTCCTTTCAGTTCAGTATTGTCTACTCTCACTGGGAGCAGCTGTCCAGGGTTGCAAATTCTAGTATGTCCCAGCCCTACCTGGAGTTGCCAGGAATTAAATCCGGAACCCTCTGAGTGCAAGGCAGAGACTCTATCACTGATCTATGGCTCTTTCTGAATATTTAATTTTGACATTATAATTCTTCCTTATGTTCTTTCGCCATTGCTTATTCTCCTTGCTGCTGAGTTCTACAAGGGAAACAATGAGACTAAGGAGTAGAAAGCTGACAGGCAGGCAGGGGGTGGGTGGAGGAGGGAAGATGGAGGTTGGTGGGGTACTGCCCCATGCACCCGAGTGCACTAACATCCACTAAATCCTCACATTACGCAGAAGGTGAAACATATTGCAGTGGTCTTGGCAGCTGAAGATTAGTGAAGGCTGGGCAAAAGAAGAGGTCATTATTGTGGGCACAGGCACCAATTCTATGGGGTGAGGATAGCTCCTCCCTCCCAACATATGCAGGAATGGGGCTGAACGCCCTCAATCTTGAGGGGCCGGGCTCAGTTTTTTAATATTTTCTCACAAATGAGGATGATAGATATGTTAATAACCTTCTACCTGACTTTCCAGAGACACCACTGTTATAAGCAGAGCTTATGGTCCTATCATTGGCCAGGATGGATGGGTGGGAATTCTGATACTGTCAACCTCGGTTTCTGAACAGCTCCATTTTGGAACGCCTTGGCTCCCGAATGCCAAAAACCTAGAAGTAAAAGTTCCCATTTTTGAATGCTTTTATGAAGCCAAACATCCGACGCGGCTTCTCTTTGAGTTCAACTACCAAAGTTTGACTGTAACCAAGATCTCTAGATTTTGAATTTTCTTGTGGCCCTCCATCTTTCAAGAGGATTTTGTTTTTTGAACGTGCACCAAATTTCAAATTGTGTATAAGTCTTTTCCATCTTTTTAGGTTGCTAAAACCAACCAATTTAAGTATTTTGATTATGGATCAAAGAACAAAGCTGTCTACAACATGGTAAGTGTTTTGGATTCTAATGAGAGATTTTGGCGGTAGGCTAAATGTTTAATGTGAACCGTGTTGTGATTTCTGAGTTCTTATATAATTCCTTTGGGTGAGGTAACACCAAAGACACCAAAGAACTGGTTGTATTTATGTGTTATCTATGAAAGTGCATGCATTGAATGAGTAAGGGCATAGAAAACTGCCTTATCCCAAGTCAGACTATTGATCCACCTATCTGTCTATATTGATTAGCATAGCAGCAGCTCTGATTCTAAGCCCTACTAGAAAACCTGAGGGACCTATGACCTTCTACACACAAACCAGATACTCTACCAGTGAGCTACCACTCCTCTCTAGATTTTGCCTCTTGGGATCCATTGAGAGCCTCCTTCCAGGCCAGATGTGCAGCGGGGCTTAGCTGAGACTAGTCTGCTGTTATTTGCGGAAGTGGCTGCCTCTGCTATGTTACTCCACCTTTCAGCTGTTGGGGGGGGGGGCTGAGCAACATAATCAAAGCCCTACTGCCCCTCAGGCTCACAAGGAGACCCTCCCTCTGTCCTGAAGAGCACGTCGTCCTCATGAGCCATGAGGACTCTTATTTCTTTTGCTATTCTTACTGCTCCAGAGTAAGGAGTTGGATACTTAATAGATAGTTAAAGAATGATTTTCAAGGGACAGATGTTAGGCATTCAATGTATCTGAAGATCCAAAAGATGTCTTTAAAAAGAGGAAAATAAATAAAAGTGAACCTAATTTTCATCTTTCTGTTCTTTTTCTCAACAGAGTACACCCCCATTTTATAAGATAGAAGACATTACTGTGCCAACAGCTGTGTGGAGTGGTGGGAATGACCTTATTGTAACCAAAAAGGCTATTAAACGGCTGCTCCCTCGAATCCCTCATTTAGTTTTCTATAAGAATATTCCTGAATGGCAACATACAGATTTTATCTGGGGTCTTGATGCACCAGACAAGTTGTTTAAGGATGTGCTTTCTCTGATGCAAAAGTTCAAATAATGTCTTAATATGAGGGGCAAACTATATATCTGATATTAATGCAGACACATTTTTTAAAAAGTTTTACATTTATTGTTTTCTGTACTTATGTTCTTCTTTTCTGTCGCAAGTAATATTAAAGGTTGGCTAGCAATGACAAAAGGATCTAAGGAAGAAAAACACACAACAAAATTGATGGTAAAAATCTAACAACATGCAGGGGCACAGCCTCTAGTACTACTTATTATTATAATATATATTCATATTATATTGTGTTACCATGCATTATAGAATAAACTTGCTTCTGTTCTGCAATGAATCATGGAATTCCTTGCCAATATGAAGGGACCCCCAAAAGGCCAAAGAATATGCAGCTTGGAATAACTTTTTGTATTCCAGTGGAAGGTACTCCGATTCCGACTAAGCCACTCAACCAGAGGTCAGTGAGGGAAATGTCACACATTGCTCAGGTTTGGCTATCAAGACCATGAGCCTCCATAGGGCGGCTGTCTTTTATTTTAGCAAATGTTTTCAACTGCTTGACCCCTGTAATACCTTCCACGTAAAAGAAGCTAATCGCTGGCTGGCATTGTGTACACCTGGCTTTGCCAGACACAAGGGAGCCTATTACTGTTGAGACTTTGCGGCTGATCTGGGGCAAGTTAGGCAGTGTTTGTTGGTTCAGTTTTGAGGTCCAGTTATTTGCAGTTTGTCTCAATATGTGGCTCTTGCTCCAGCATGGAATGGCGGGGGGGGGGGCAATGGGTTGCTCAGTGGCATGTGCGGCCTTCGAATCCTTTGCTACTGGGCACTGCAATTCAAAACAGGTTCCATCGGGGTCTTACACTACCTTGATGACTTTATTCTCGTTGTAGCCAAAGAACAGCAGTGCACCGACTTGTTGAGGGCATTAATCTCCCTCGCAGAGGAACTCGGTGTTCAGTTGGTGGCGGATAAAACTGAGGGCCCAGCCACAACCATGGTTTATCTAGGCATTTAATTAGACACAATTGCCCAGGCCTCCAGGTTACCAAGCGAAAAACTAGTCGCGCTCAAGGATTTAATTCAACAGCTTCTTTCATTAAAAAAGGTTACCCTTAGGCAGATCCAGTCTTTATTAGGTCATCTAAATTTTGGGTGCCGAGTAGTATCCCCAGGACGCCCCTTCTGTGCCCAGTTGGCTAGATTGTCAGCGGGCCTTCGGGCACCCCAGCACAGAGTTCATCTTTCCAGGGCGGTTAACTCCAACATGGAAGTATGGCTGCAATTCCTAGATAAATATAATGGCATTTTGCTGTGGCAGGATACCATGCTGCTCCATGCTGATTTTCAGGTCCAATCAGATGCGGCAGGTTCCTTGGGGTTTGGGGTCTATTTCAGGGGGCAGTGGTGTGCCCAGCACTGGCCCCCGGTGTGGCAGGGAAAGCCCGTAACACGGGATCTTACCTTCTTAGAATTCTTCCCCATCATGGTGGCGGTTCATTTATGGGGTGAGGTATTTAGGAACCACAGGATGTGCTTTTGGACTGACAACCAGGCAGTGGTATCTGTTCTCTCAACTCAATCATCACACTCCCCAAGAGTCAGTAACCTCCTCCATTCCTTTGTCCTTTTGTGCCTTCAACACAACATCTATTTTTCAGCCAATTTCGTGCCGGGCGTTAATAACAACATCGTGGATGGGGGGCCACCAGGGGGCGCATTGGAAGATGGCCGACAATAACATATCTCTGACCCACATGAGGTAATTAAGAGGCTGCTATGGGAAGTATGCAGTCTTCCTGCCCCCCCCCCAATGGGATGAGCGGGACTGCTTTGCCAGCGGTGTCCATAATGGGGGCAGAGATTAAGACTCTGCCCCCTCCTCCCCTCACTTCAGATTCCTTCCCAGCAGCCATCACCTAATGATGATGATGATGATAATGATAATAATAATTTTTTATTTATACCCCACCCATCTGGCTGGGTTTCCCCAGCCACTCTGGGCGGCTTCCAACAGAATATTAAAATACAATAGTCTATTAAAATTAAAAGCTTTCCTAAACAGGGCTGCCTTCAGATGTCTTCTAAAAGTCTGGTAGTTGTTTTTCTCTTTGACATCTGATGGGAGGGCATTCCACAGGGCAGGTGCCTGCCTCATTGTTTGTTCTGCTTTGTTCATGGCACTCCTTTCTCGGACTGTGAGAGGAGATGAGGAAGGGTCCGTCTCTCTGCAGAACAGGAGATGCAACTTCTGCTTCTTCTCGGCCAGCATCTGCGCTCACACTGAGCCTCTCCACCTCCATCCTGAAATGACCTCCCCCTTCTGCCTCCCCACCATCATCTCAACTCTCTGTATCTAATAACTCCCAGCTGGTTCCTTCTGTCCTGTCTCACCAGTCTGAATCAGGATCAAAATCTTCTTCCCCAGTATCATTCCTAGGGCAACTAGCCTAGAAAAGCTGACTGTGCTGTATAGGAATATTTGCCTCTACACATTTGCCTCTACACATTTGCTTCTGCACATGACTGTGGCATGATGGGAAGCCTCGCTGCCAAGCTTTGCTTCTGTACATGATGCAGCACAAACCATTCTTAAGACATTCCCTCATCATCCCAGAATGTTCCAGTTCAGTTTGAGTTCATGAAAACATTACACTTTGACCTGTTCTTAATGCATAGTTGACCATATCTATTGGAATGTAATTATTTAAGTCTTAATATATTAATCATTGGTTATACTTTAATTCGGAGGTTTTCATGCCTGTCTAGTTCTGTGCTACCTCTCCCAGCCTTTAATCTATTAGTGATTAATGCCTATATGTAACCTTTACTTTGTCCTTGTGTTAACCAATCAGCAACAAGTTACTTTGTACTTGTGTTAACCAATCAGCAACAAGTGCACCTGTGGCAATGCGTGTCATATTCAATAAAAGAGAGTCCTCGAGATTTGCTCGAGAGGTGCCTCCCACATGACGCTCGCTACTCGTCTGTCGTTATTCCAACCCAACAGTGCTGAACCCTGTCCACTATTAAAGATAAATTAACAGAGAATGCCTTTTCCCAGGACCACACTCCCAAACTTTTTAGGAACTTAGCATCTGAAAGGTTGTGTGAGAAGGAGGTGGTTGTTCAAGAAATGTCTCTTCACCTATCCAGAGCCAGTCCACATCAGGACCTGGAGGCAAAATTGCCTAGCAAGCCTAGGCGTATCATATTGAGCTTGCTTGAAGAAAAGTGGTATATAACTGTAACATATAGGAGATCCGTTCCTAACAGGAACCTCAATGTTTCCTTCCAAGAAAGGATGATTATTTAGTAATGCTTCAGATTTTATTTTATTTTTACAGCTTATATGCGGCAATAAAGAATACTGCTTTTTCTTTAATGAACTAACAGCCATTGATGCCAAGTTGTGCAGCTATCCAGGGATTGACAAAATTTGTCTCCAAATCATGTCCTTATTTCAAGGACACAATGAAAAAACCCTAAATGTGGTAGGTAGTTTTATTCTCTATCATTTATTTCTTTTTGAAAGAACTTGCTGTGTACATATACAAAACAACAAAAGAAAATCAATCAAACAAAATATAGTATTTGGCGTAATTTTGAGTTCCTTTACACTTCTCTTCCATGGTGAAATTCTAGTGGCCTATTTTAATAAATGCTAATCTTTCTTTTAAATTTTATTTTCAAAATTAACTTCACGTCTAGTAGTTAGTTGGTCACTTACATGTCACCATAGAGGAGGAAATGCACCACACTCCAAATATCAAAGAAGTCTCAGAGTGGCTTATTTTAATTGCTTATTCTAAACTCCAGATGCAAAGACAGAAAGAATTCCTATAGTGGGGCGGACTGTGACGAGGTGAACTTTCTGCCTGTTCCATGTGCTGTCCAGGTGCTCACTGCTGAGAGGCAACTTCAAGGCCCCTGTTCTTCCTTCTTATGGCTCTTTATCAGCTGGATTCACTATGGGTGGGGGATACACATCTAGGTGCCCAGACACCTCTTCATCAGAAAGCTGCTTCCTTGTGCAGCATGAAAGTGTCTGTATGCTGTACTGCCTTGAATGCCATGACCTTGTGAATGTGGGTGTTCCTTGAAAACTCTTCAAGAATGTGATTATAAAAAGCATTTTCTTTCCTATCATTCTTCCAGAGTAGAGTAGATGTGTATCTTGGAATTTCCCCCGATTTTACTTCTGTAAAAAATATTGCACACTGGAGTCAGGTACGTTCTAACAAATATCTTCTCAGCATTTCAAAACATGGGAGTCAAAAGTCTGATGTTTCAACTTGCCTGTTCAGTTTCTCATGTTTGTGTTTTGGTACTAAGGTTTCCATTTCATTTTATAAAAGTATAGTTTTCAAGATTACCAGACCACTCAAAAGTTATATTCTAGATCAGTGATGGCCGACCTTGGCCCTTCAGCTGTTTTGGGACTACAGTTCCCATCATCCCTGACCACTGGTTCTGTTAGCTAGGAATGATGGGAGTTGTAGTCCCAGAACAGCTGGAGGGCCAAGTTTGCCCATCACTGTTTTAAATACTTCAATATTCAAACATGAGCTGTAACAGTTCTTTGGATCTTGTGGAAAGAACTCAGGAAGCTGCCCTTTACTGAATCTGACCTTTTGCTGCTTTTATTGGCCAAGGTAGATGGGTGGGAATTCTGATAACTAAGATCCCTAGCGTTTAAATTTTCATGTGACTCTCCATTTTTAAGAGGATTTTGTGTTTTGAACACGCACCAAATTTCATATTGTCTTTTCCATATTTTTAGTTTGCTAAAACCAACCAATTTAAGTATTTTGATTATGGATCAAAGAACAAAGCTGTCTACAACATGGTAAGTGGTCTGGATTCAAATGAGACATTTTGGTTGCAGGTTAGACATTCAATGTGAACCGTGTTATGATTTCTGAGTTCTCCTTTGGGAAAGAGTGGGATAATACCAAAGACACAGAACTGGTTGAAATTATGATTTTGTCTATGACAGGTATTTAATGAGTAGGAACATAGAAAACTGCCTTATGCCAAGGCAGACTATTGATCCATCTATTTCAACTCTGTCTATACTGATTGGCAGCAGCTCTGATTCCAAGCCCTATCTGGAGAACCTGGGAGACCTAGGACCTTCACACAAACCAGATGCTCTACCAGTGAGCTAGCATTCCCCTCTAGATTTTGGCTTTGGGGCTCTGTTGAAGGTCTCTATCTGAGACACATGTGCAGCGGGACTTCGTTGAGCTTGTTCAGCTGATGCATGAGGGAATTCTTCTGCATATTGGCTAAGCAGCCTCAACAAGTCTCCTGCTTGTGTGGAAACTTTCGCCAGAGCTGGATGTGAAGCAGCGTTTTTCTGAGGGCAAAGCAGCGCTTTGCTGATAAATGAGGAAGTGGTTGCCTCTCCAGTGCTACCCATCCCAGAGCCTGAAGATCATGTCATCCTCATGAGCTAGAAGAACTTTTGAAGGTGCTCCCCACTTATGGGCATTTCCCTTATGCATGCGGAAGCCTGGAATATACGGTAACTGCTGTGTAAGTGGGGAGCTGCCTGTATTATATTACAAAAAAAAAAAATGTTTGCAGAAATATGTATATTACTTGAAACTGAAGAACAGAAATATGTATTGGGCAAAATTGCATGCAGCAATAGACGTAATATTGCATGTAGCAATCGACGTAATAGATGACGTAATAGATGACATATGCAGGCAAATGTATACAAAAAGCCCCAATGCAAATTGTTGCAGAAATGGTGCAAACTGGAAAAATGAAAAACTAGGAGAAACCATAAATGACAGATTAATCCAGCTCTACTAAAAAGTAAGCCTACCAGGATTTAGTGCTATGTAAATGACTATATGATTCCAACTTAATTTTTTTAAAAAATTAATTTTGCTGGTCCAGAGAACAGAATTAGATATTGAACAGAAAGTTAAAGAATGATTTACAAGGGACAGATGTTAGACATCCAATACATTTGAAAACCCAAATGATTTCTTAAAAATGAGAAAAAGATGTGAAAGGTGAACCTCATTTTTATGTTTCTAATCTTTTCCTCAACACCCCCATTTTATAAGATAGAAGACATTACTGTGCCAACTGCTGTGTGGAGTGGTGGGCATGACATTATTGTAACCACAGAGGCTATTGAACGGCTGCTCCCTCGAATCCCTCATTTAGTTTTCTATAAGAATATTCCTGAATGGCAACATACGGATTTTATCTGGGGTCTTGATGCACCAAAGCGGTTGTATAAGGATATGCTTTGTCTGATGCAAAATTTCAAATAAAGTCTTAATGTAAGGTCCAAACTATATATCTGATATTAATGCAGACTCATATTTTAAAGAAATCTTACATAAATCAACATATTCATTTATATTCTTTTATTCTGTCGCAAAAAAATTGAAGGTGGCATAAATAGCAAAAATAGCATAAATAGCAAAAAGGATCTAAAGAAAAATACATAACAAAATGGATGGTAAAAATGTAACAATAAGCAGGAGTGCAGCCTCTAGTACTACTTATTATTATATTTCATTTTATATTTTGTAACCATGCTTTATAGAATAAACTTGCTTCTCTTCTCTATAGAATTATGGACCTCCCATTCTGAAATCCCCCACCCCCTTTAAAATGCAATCAAAAAATTAACTGCAAATTGAAATATACTCTGAATTTAGTGGTTGATGTTTAGCTGCTGTATTCTCATATTGAACAGGATCCTAATTCTCTAACTCTAAATTAAAAATCAAACACCAACTAAACTAAAAAAGCACGTGGAGTACAATTTGTCAATTACTGCAGAAAAAACCAACGAGGTAGTTCTATTTGAAACCACAGAACAGTTGCATTCTAGAAATGCAATAATTGTTCTGGATCAGATTCATTTATAATCCTTCTAAAGTCTGTTTCTCATATAACTGTGTGATTCCTTTGTGTCTCACTGTTATTTCTCCAACTCGTCTTGTTGTTATACTTCTATTCCCTCCACTTT